TCATGTAGCGACCACCAGGTTCACTGATTTTCGCACCAACTTTATCGAGGAAACGTTAGCTGAATATTGCCAGCCAGCTAAAACTGTTTACATAGCAACCGCCGTTGCTAACCACATCCAGTGATCGGTGCGTCATGCAAACCCCAACATGCAGTTAAAATAAAGATGAAAATCCCACCATTGTTCAACTTTGTCTCGGTCGTGCACTTTGTCTATCCACGTGGGAACAGCTCGCATCGTCGCTTGTAACTTCAAATGTATTTGTGTGTTAACATCAACAGGTCTTCCGCGCGATCAAGATGCGGAGCAAACGCTTGGATACCCGAACCAAAAAATCCAATATGGCGACCGACATCAAAATAAGAGTCGTTCCAAGCTAGCCGTTCGTAATGATTCACTTTTTACTGAATCGATTCTGTGGCTCCGCGTTTATTTAAATGGAGCGATTCGAGATTTGGTTCATTTGATTCATGATTCAGGCTATGGCCTACAATTTGAATTTCCCTTAAACGTTATAGTTCAGTAAGATTGCATTGGTTTTAATGAGTAGATGAAAATAAAAGCACATCGGCGAATCAATTCACTTCATTATTGTAAAAAGGAGTCGACCAAATATTATACATTATACGTTATACTCTCTCTCTCGACAGATCACTTCATTCATCTCAGAGGGAAATTCACGTAATATTGCAGCACAGAGAGAAGTATAATTAAAGTCATTTAACATTATACATGAAACAAAATAAGAATAGACAATGTTTTTGTTTCATATATTTTAAGTTATATAATCAAAGGGGCATACAATGAGCTGTAATATGTTTTTATTTATTTATTTATTATTATATTTTTTAGTATTATTGCATTAAATTAAATTTTTTGGGTGGTATTTTGTCATTTAATAAGTTTGTGGAAGCAGGAAACTGAAGTGCACACTGAATGCACTCGGTAGATGGCAGCATTCGCTGTTTAGATGAAAGCAGACGTTACAGGAAGAGGGGTTAGAGCTACCCTGTGTGCAGGTTTGGAAAAGAAAAGGCGGTTATGTTCTCTAATGAAAGCTTCCTGGGTTTAGTTTAGACTTCCCGGACTCATGAAAGTAAGTTTACTCTAACAAAGCAACATTTAAAAAAGTGTTGTCCGATCCACTTCATTGTATTTCGCCAATGCAGAAATAGAATTAGTGTCTGTTCAGACTTCATTTCCATGTATTATTAACATGTGTGGCATTTGGCAGACGCTATTGTCCAGAGTGTTTACAGAAGGGACGTGTTTTTATCAATAAACAGACCCGGGTACTGATTCAAAACAAACTCTGTTGGAGATATAGTAAATGAAACAGTCGCTCATTTATTTTCTGGAGTCTGGACTGCGGTGTGTTCTTCCTCGCTGTACCAGAGCGAGGGTGAATGCTCGAATCTGATTGGCCAGAAGGTGTGCTTTACCCCGCCCCCCGCCCGGGGGGGGGGGGGGGGGGGGGGGGGGCGCGGGGGGTGGCGCTGTGGGGGGTGTTTTATATAACAACCCCAAAAAAAACAACACCTACACCGCGTATCGCGCCACATAATATAAAATAATAATAAACCCTTTTTAAACAATTATTTGTTATTGTCCCAATAATCAAACAAAAGCACTTTATTTAATTTTATTCCAGAAATAAGTAAGGAATAATAAACGATGGGCCTTTTAATTATATTACCCTGCTTTGGCTCATGGTCGCATTACCACCTCGGTGTGGATTATTTTTCTAATAATGCAGTGACCCATGGTCAGTTATTCCTTACATAACAGCAGCTCTAATTGTAGCTCCAGCTGTGATTAATAATGTGCTTCTAATGGGTTATTATAGTAAAAACCCATTCACAGGGACTTGGCATACCCATCCACAATAATTTAACACTAATAAATAAATGTGTTGTTATTTATAAATGTGTTTGTTATTTAACAAAGAAAAATCTAGCATCATTGATGCGGTGAGGTATTCTGTATGGAGACATTTGTTTAATATCTGGGATATAGGAATTTGCATGCTCTTGGTACAAGCTGTGTTTTATTATTATTATTATTATTATTATTATTATTATTATTATCTTTAAGATGCTGGTGAGAGAGTAATTGTTATAGCTGTTATATCTGTATTATGTATGTGATAACTGGAACTATCTTGTCTCCTGGACGTTCCGCAACATTACACGTAACTATAAATGGTTTAAAAGTACAATGTGTCATTCATAAATAAATAAATAAATAATAATGTAAATATGTTTTATTATTTATTATCTAGCTTCATAAACTCTGCAGTAATTCCTGACAAATGTGCTGACCAAACAATGGCTGCCAGTACTGAACAGATAGACACATCGCTCCCTCCTGGATGGACGAGAGAGTCAAGACAACGAAAGCAGGGCAAGACAGCAGGCAAAATGGACACGTACATTGTCAGGTAATGTAAGGACAGGTTCTAGCCCGTTATTGAATCTGGCCAGACAGCCAGCTCTAGGAGAAGGCCTGGTGGTGCCAAACATCTTCCATGTCACAATGACAGAGCCCGCTGTTGTGTGTAAATTGATGGGTAAAAAAAAAGTGGATTTAAAATGAAAACTATAGTACGATCTTTGATAGAATCTATAATCAGCTCTTTTTTTATTGTTGTGGCCAAAAATGGTTGATTTTGGTGCACCTTTTTCCACAAATTTCAGTGCAGTTTGCAGTGTTTTTTATACTTTTTTTTGCGGAAAATAATTTTTTGAAATTGCTTTTTTGCACGGTCGTTCACAGTGATGTTTGTTGGTAATTGAGACCTTTTAGCTGTACTCATGTTCGACGCATGTACTCGAAGGCGGCTTTGGGTGAATGCGTGTTGTGATGATGTCGCATGACGTGTTTTGGCCCAAATCTGTGGAAAACCTGCTGTCATTTTGAAAACTTGCAAGCTCCTATAAATATTGTGGAGTTTGCTTGATTTTTGCATTGATTTCTGTGGTCGCAAAATCCTGGAGGGACTGTGTAATACAATAAAGTGTGCAAAAAAAAAAATCGATAATACAATCTATATCCAGTCTGTAGTACAATAACTGCAGTAGCTGCTTTTTTGTTGGTCTCTTTCTCCAAAATTTGTATTTTTAAATTATAAAGTAAATTTTCTGTCATGAAAGTCCTCAGGGTAAACGCTTCCGGTCCAAAGCAGAACTGCAGAAGTACCTGCTCGCTGAGGAATGTGTCCACGTGGATCTGGACGCGTTTGACTTCACGCCAAAAATCAAAGCTCAGTCTCAAAAATCCAACTCTGAAAAGCCACAACAAAAAAAACGAAAAACAGGAAGGAGAAAAGCAAAACAGACAAATCCATCTGCAGAAAATCATCCTGGGGCAGCTGTGGGAGAAATGCAAAACGTAGAGATCGAGACAAAGGTGGAGGAGAAGAACAGTACGGATGCCCAGGTGCAGAAAATAAAGAGTGACGAAGAAGAACAAAAAGACGTCAAGGGCAAAATAGTGGAAGCATCCAGCAGTGTTGGAGAAAACGGACTGGCCGCTGTGCCTGCTATAAGCGTGCATGCAGCATCGGAGAGCGAAGGAGAGGAGAAAGAAGAAAGCGATGAAGTGAGTGACAGCCAAAAAAGTAACTCGGGGATTGGCTCACCTGTCAGAAACACACCAAATGGTGAGTATCACCCTCATCTACAGTGCTGTGAAAATCATTTAAAAACTGTAGGGTGTTGTATTTCATTTGAAGAGCTAAAACTATTTTGTATGAGATATACACAAGAAATCAGGATGGGTGCACATATAATTTAACAGCACTGTACTGCACAATTAGACGGTTTCCCGAGTACTGTTTTTATTCAGATAATGCCCAGGTCTTTCCAAAGGCTACACAAACTTTTTCACACAGACATTAATATGTACCACAATACAGTTTCAATATTAACGGAAGTTTTTGAGATGAATAGGCTTCAAATTCAGTCTGCGTGATTATTATTATTATTTTTTTTTTTAATTTACTTTTTTTTTTCCTTTGTTTATTTATTAATTTTCATATGATTCATTTACATGTGATTCATTTACATATGATTCATTTACATATGATTCATTTTCATGTGATTCATATTCATGCATGTGATTCATTTTCATGTGATTCATTTACATATGATTCATTTTCATGTGATTCATATTCATGCATGTGATTCATTTTCATGTGATTCATTTACATATGATTCATTTTCATGTGATTCATATTCATTTACATGTGATTCATTTACATGTAATTAATTTTCATGTGATTCATTTACATATGATTCATTTTCATGTGATTCATATTCATGCATGTGATTCATTTTCATGTGATTCATTTACATATGATTCATTTTCATGTAATTCATATTCATTTACATGTGATTCATTTACATGTAATTAATTTTCACGTGATTCATTTACATATGATACATTTTCATGTGATTAAAATTCAGTCTGCGTGATTATTGGTGGTGTTGTTTAATGGCATTTATTTTACTGGTTTGTTTTTGTGTAGGGACAAACTTCCTTTCACAGAAGCGGAGAACCAGTCCATACTTTAAAAGGAAGAATGATGGTAGGTGTTTGACTCTGTTCACACTTGAAGAAAGCACATGTAGCTGAGCAATGTAGAAGAACAGCTTGTACTCGAAACAATAAACAGTGTGACAGAAGTGTAACATTTCTGTGCACTGAAAAGCAAAACCCATCATCTGCTCAATAACACAACGCACGAGCTCAGTGGTAGGACTCAGTGGTGGTAGCTCAGTGGTGGGACTCAGTGGTGGGAGCTCAGTGGTAGGACTCAGTGGTGGGACTCAGTGGTGGGAGCTCAGTGGTAGGACTCAGTGGTGGGGACTCAGTGGTGGGGACTCAGTGGTGGGGACTCAGTGGTGGGGACTCAGTGGTGGGGACTCAGTGGTGGGAGCTCAGTGGTGGGAGCTCAGTGGTGGGAGCTCAGTGGTGGGAGCTCAGTGGTGGGAGCTCAGTGGTGGGAGCTCAGTGGTTAAAATGTTGCCGTTCTGATCGGAAGGTCGTGAGTTCAAATCCCAACACTGCCAAGCTACCACTGCTGGGCCCTTGAGCAAGGCCCTTAACCTGCTCAGTTGTATAAATGAGATAAGTGTAAGTCGTTCTGGATAAGGACGTCTTCCAAATGCCATAAATGTAAATGTGTAGTTATGGGAAAATAATGAACTGGGTTTTTGTTTTTATCACAAGGTTAAAGATACTACTGTTAGGAAGCCAACGTTTTCCCACATCACTCTGTGTCACAGGTCTCAGTCCTCCAAAGCGTAAAGCGTTCAGGAAGTGGACTCCACCACGTTCCCCCTTCAAACTGGTACAAGAAACCTTGTTTCATGACCCATGGAAGCTTCTAGTGGCCACCATCTTCCTCAACAGAACTAGCGGTAAACAACTTCCAGAGACGGTTTCCAGATGTTAAATAGATATGTTTATAGAAAGCGTCACCATGTAAACTATTACATTCGCTTTTCTTTGTTCAATAATGTTTTTGTAAGTGAAAGGTTTTTTCTTATTATAAATGAGATTTTAGACTTTTTATTTTTATTCTAAGTGAGATTTTAGTTTTTGTTTATATCAGGTTAGAGTTTTATTAGCTTGGGTTGCATAGAACATCAGCCATACAAGTTTTAATGAACACCTTCTGACCAATCAGAATCAAGAATTCGACAGCACTGGTATAAGCTTAGATAACTAGCTTGAAGTACATACTTGGTACTGCAAGCTAGTTATCTAATATAACATAGGTGGTCAATCCTAATCCAACATAATTTTAACATGGGTAAGATTTTAATTATGATATTTTGAATAATTTGCAATAAGAATTTGTTGCATGTGAAATTAATTTTTTCCACTAGAAGTCTACACTTGGCATTACTGTGTCTCCTGTAAGTCTGTTTACTGTATAATGTGTATTCTGTGTGTGTGTGTGTGTGTGTGTGTGTAGGGAAATTGGCAATACCTTTGTTGTGGCAGTTTTTTGAGCGTTACCCATCTGCTGAAGTAACGCGTGCCAGTGACTGGAAGCCACTTGCTGATCTCATGCAGCCGCTCGGTCTCAACTCTCTACGAGCCAAAACACTCATCCGCTTCTCCGGTGAGTGAACAAAACGTACGCAGATACTGTACATCTGATGTCAAAACTGTAAATATGAAATGTAACAGGCTTCTAGTACTGTACTTGTAGTACTGCACTATTCAGCAAATAAAGTTTACAGTACGGAGTTTACAATACTATTTGGCAAAGTTTTACAACAAAAACGATCAGTGATGGGGAGATGTGATGAAGCCAGACACAAAGCGGAGTTACTCTTAGCTCTCTGAACATGATCGTTTTCCAGTAACAGTATTTCCTTCCTCTTCGATCACAGACATTTGCCAAAAGGTACGCTAGAGAATCATATCGAAAACGTTTCTGTGGTTTGGCACAAAGCACTATGCTTAGGGTGATGAGCAGTACTGAGTTTCACCCTGAGATCACCATCTTCACAGTGAAGCACGTTGATGGTAGCATCAGGTTGAGCGTTACTCAGTTCATTTTCCCCAACAATATTTACAATGTGTACCATAGAGCTTTCTAGTCCTGACCTTCCCACCAATGAAACATGTTCGTTCCAAGTTGATGTATTTGGTTAGCCCGATTTTGGTTTAAAGTTATTGAGGTTCGGATTAAATTCATTCTTTTTTTTTGTTCTGTTTTACGATAGCTGACCAAGGACTTGAAGGATCTGTCTAAAACATCTGTCTAGAACTTCCTATTTCTCTTGAAGCCTTGGATTTTACACATTATATAGCAGAAACTGTATGTAAACTTTTTAGAAGCCTTTATTTGTAGCTCTTATGTGGGTCTCTCCTTGGCAGATGAGTTCCTCACCAAATCATGGCGGTATCCATGTGAGCTCTATGGCATCGGCAAATACGGCAATGATTCATATCGTATATTCTGTGTGGGAGATTGGAGAGAGGTGAGACACACACACACACACACACACAAACAAGAATACACACACACCAAGTAGAGCTCTCCGCCATGTGTGTGTGTGTGTGTGTGCTTTTTTTCAGGTCACCCCAAAAGACCACAAGCTGAACAAGTATCACGCGTGGCTGTGGGAAAACCACAAGCAGTTAGGCATCTGATGTTTTGTGTTGGCTGGAGCCTCACAGGACAACTTTCTAACTTTCTTTTAACTTGCCATAATTTTAAATCAGGCCAAGGGAGTGAAGCACAGACTACTTTTATAGTAACTTCAGTGATGTCTACTGCTGAGAATTATAAAAAAAAAAAAAAAAAAAAAAAAAAAGCCCCTCCTGAAATCCTACTTTCAAAGTCAGTAATTAATTTCCCACACCTGTCCCATTACAAGCTTGCCCTACTTGATTTAATGTATGATTATAAGGTTCCGTGTTCTGCCTTTCAAACTTTTAACCCCGTGATATTTCTCTTGGCCTTTTCAATATGCACATGAACACACGGCAGATCTTTTTCCATGTGATATTTTTAATTTTGGCCCATTTTACTCGCTTCAGAAGAATAATGAAGAGGTTGAAACTATGACCTAGTTAGGTAGTTGACCTGGCCTCATTGGTGAGGAGGAGCTCAAGGCATGCTGGGAAAGTTAGTGAACCTTTGCTTTAATAAGGTCCTTATAGGAAAGATATATATGTATGTGTGTGTGTGTATAGAGTATGTGTGTATTGATATGTATATATATATTTTTGTTTCTCGTTAAGGTCAAAGACAATGTTATCGATCCCATTGGGTTGAACGGTCATAATTAGCTTGTTATACTATGCATTTTAAAAATATTCATGTAATAATGTGGCCAGAGTCTTTTTCCTGTGCGGTTTTATCCCTGTGCTTTACCCAAAAGACATGCTACTGCAATAAAGATATTCAGATCCGATCTCTTTTTCAGCACAAAAATGGAAGCGACTGAGTGACTTGAAAACGCTTTAATGAAGTGATCCACAGTTTTGGCATAGAATAAATCAAATCATTAAAATGAATGATTATTTCTGTGGTATGATCACAGCAAAAAGCCTAATATCAGAAACATGGAGGTAGACTATGGAGCTAAGTTCATAGGTGGACTAGCTTTTTCAATTTAAGTTATGAAAAATAAATAAATAAAACCCTTTTATTAAAACAAGCTCATGCATCACATGTTGTACTAAAATCAGGTCCGGGAGGTTCCACATGGAGAAAGCATTATTTAGATTAAATGTTTTAAATTCATTTTCACATTATATAATGGAATACGTTTAAAGTGCACCGATAATGGTACGGAGACGTGCCTAATTTTGTTTTAAAGGTCTCATATAATAGATTTACACGCATCCAAGGTCAAAAAACACTTTAATGTGCTCATAATTTAAACCGCAGCATTAAAATTTCTCCCCCAGAGTCACAGACGCCTCGTTAAACGATCCGTTCGAAAGGATTCAGTCTAAACTCCTCTTTTCAGAGAGCATACTCTGCTCTGATCGGTCAGATGTCATAGTCTGTTGTGATTGGTCTACCGCTGTCAGCGTGTTTCAAAAAGGAAACGCCCACTACTATAACGAGTTTCAGCTCCGTCTGTTTGCGAGCAGCCGGTGAAGACCAGAGGCGGGGGTTTTTTGTTATAAACCTACGTAGGTCAGTACAGGAAGTAAGTCTGGAATCATCGATCTGTGCAATAAAATGATTGTTGGTCTGTTTGAGATATTATAGCAGTTATATTTCATTGTAACTCACAGTGAATACTAGAGATGCGCTGACGTATCGGCCAATAATCGGTATCGGCCATCGGCCAATTACAACAGGGCTGATTATATCCTGTCAATCAAAAGAGGGCGGGAAAACATTGATTTTGTGCCGTGTGTAAAGAGGATGCTGAATTGGGTGACAGTGACGTCAAAACTGCAGTTTGTAAGCTCTGTAATGCAAAAATTTCACACCGCATGCTGTTTTCGACGTGCATGTTAACGAATGAGTGCTTTGAGACCGAACGCTGCAGCAGTGAAGCAGGAGTTTCGGCGTAGAGTCTAATTCATTCATTCATTTATTTATTTATTGTCGCGCTCCTCGCGCTGAATTAAAGCGCCAGTACACCGTTGAAAGATTTAAATGAAGATGAGTTGACAAAAAAAAGTATATATTGCGCTGAAAAATAGATTTGTACAGTAGTATATTTCATATCCAGTTAATGTTAATCTATTTAAAAAAAAAGTTTATATTATATTATATATAACCAGTTTGATGTCAGTGATGAATAGAAATGCTTTTGGTTGTGGTGAGTGATTGTGAGGCCTAACAGGAGGATTTTAGATTTAGTCAATTCTGTTAATACGAATTAATAACATTAAATGAGTTAAGAAATCTCACTTTAATCTTCAGAATTGAGTTCATGTGTTAATGTTAATTAGAGTAATGTGTCTGTTTATGAGACCAGTTACTGTGAAACAACTTGTTGAAATGGACAGGTTTTTATTTGCATTTCATTCAGAATTGTGGAATTAATTATTATTCATTTAAAAGAAGGCATAAAAGGCAGAACCATCGGTATCAGTTATCTGTATTGGCCGATATCGCTCTGAATAATCGGTTATCGGTATCGGCTGAGAAACGTAGTATCGGTGCATCTCTAGTGAATATCGAAGTTCACTGTAGGTTAATGCACTGTGAGATCGCTCTTAACCATGGACACACTTGAAACATATGTGCTACAATATCTTCTTTTTTTTTTTTAAAGCAGCACAAACGGATTATCTTGACGTGCTATTCATGTGCCAGATTCACAGAGGTGTAGGTCTAATATTTAAGCAAAGCAAATTGAAGCAGTTTGAATTCAAAATCCCCGGAAATTATACAAATAAATAAATCGATCAACTTGAAGCATAACGCACATCATAAAATGGTGGTCTACTTACAAATTCAAATAAAGACATTTAAATAAATTCAGACACGAAAACAAATGAAGACAATCTAATAACCTTTTGTATAAATACATAATTGTTCTATCAGGAAAAATGACACCTATAAGGAACTGTAATAA